CGTCATGACCATCTTCAGCGCGTCGCAGGCAGTGGTTTCACAGTACCTGACGGGGGGGGAGGGGTCATGGGGCAAGGGGGGGGTCGAAGGGGAGAAGCTGGAGCAGGAATGGCAATCGAGCAGGACCAGGAGAAGGAGGATGAGGAGAAAGATGAGTAAGAGAAGAACGAGGGACAGGACAAGCAGGAGGACCAGAGTAGACCCCAGCTACACCGCCGATGCTGCAATACACCCTCCCGCCCCAAGCCCTTCCTCACAACTCCGTACAAGAATCCCCAGGCACTGGAAGACGGGCCCCTTTGAAACGCGGGGCCCCGTGGGGCCGCGATTTAGGCGGGAACTATGTATCCATAAGGAGCTGCCATCCGAGGTAAGTCATCGCCATTACCATCGTCATCATAATGAGCATCATCACCATCGTCCGCATCATCATCATGAACCAGCATCATCCGCATCAGTATCATCATCACCAGCAGCAGCAGCATCACCACCATGGTCATCATCACGTTCATCACCATCATCATCACCATCATCATCATCATCATCACCAACATCATCATCAGCCTCATCTTCATCAGTATCGTCACCAGCATCATCATTATCAGCAGCAGCATCAGCATCATCATCAGCAGCAGCATCAGCATCATCAACGCAACCAGCACCATCACCATCACAACTCAATCATCAGCGGCAGCACCATCGTCCACATCATGATCATCAGCATCATCACAAGAATCATTATCATGTCCATAATCAGCGGAATCCGCATCATCAGCAGCATCGACAGCATCATCAGCAACAGCATCACTACCAACGTCGTAATCAGCATCAGCATCACCATCATCAGCATCACAATGATCATCAGCATCAACATCATCATCAGCAGCATCATCAGCCGCACCGCCATCGTCATCATCATCTCCATCAGCATCAGCATCAGCATCAGCATCATCCACATTATCAACATGACCATCAGCAGCATCAACAACGTCATCAGCATCAGCAGCAGCAGTATCATCATCGTCAGCAGCCTCATCAGAAGCACAATCATCGTCATCGCAATCGGCATCGTCTTCACCCGCATCATCACCAGCAGCAGCAGCATCATCAGCATCACTATCGGTATCAAACTCCTCACTATCATGATCGTCATCAGCAGCATCATCCACATCATCGTCGTCGCCGTCATCATCAGCATCGTCAGCACCCGCATCATCCTCAACAACATCGTCGTCATCAAATCGGTGCCATCATCATGATCAGCGACATCATCGACATCATCATCATCAGCAGCAGTATCAACAACAACAGCACAATCATCAGCCGTAGCATCATCCTCAGATTCATCACCACCACCACCGCCGCCACCGCCACCATCATCCGCATCATCACCAGCAGCAGCAGCATCCGCAGCAGCAGAATCACCAATTGCATCACAAGCATCTTTCTCACGGTCATCATCAGCCTCAATATCATCGTCGTCATCAACATCAGTGTCGCCATCGTCTCCGGCGACAGCGTTGATATGTGACATCTGCAGCATCCCCAGCATCATATTATCGCCAACATCTTAGCGAGCCGTAACACCCTCAACACCACAATCAATGGTACAAACAACAGTTCCATGAAGATCCGATTCATCACGCCAGCGCTATCACTGTCATCATGGTATGACGATCCTGTTCCGCGCCACCATACTCATGATTATCCGACGCTTTCTC